TTATTGAAACTTCTCCTGAACTTTCTGACAATTGCAAATGGTCCTATTTGTCAAAATCCTTTAACAAGAGGTACGGGAATGTCTAAAATACCCATGCATTAACGACTTGGGTAGCGATTAATGATAATATGAAGAGAAACTTTGAAAAATAAATATTTTGGTAAAAAATAACAATATACATATTTTAGACATTTTTATGCCTTTTGTCAAAAGATTCTAACAGTGAGGGTCTACTTATGATTGTGTCTAAACATTTAAGGAAAATAACTGCGATTATCAAACTTTAGAGGAGGTCTAAACAAATTATAGTTACAAACAAATAAATGCAAAATTAAACTGGGTGCAAAACTACATCCACTTCAAACAAATATAACCTTCTGCTTTTTCAATTATATTAATTAGTTGGAAAGTTGCATGCGATAACTGATCGGTGGCCTAATTCTTAGGATCTCGGCTTCGTTGTAGCAGAGACCTGGGGTCAAATCTGTTGCCACCACGGCTGGGGAAGGTTTAGGAGATGAGCTAAATAATAATAAAATAAAAAAACGAGAAACTCATTCCCTAATTAATGGTATAATCTATGGTTTTTAAAACTGAATCGGTCAGGGGTTTGGTTACTAGGTCGAACGGTCTGACCATTCGAACCAAATATTTGACCTGTTCTGACAAAAAATAAAAAAAAAATAAAAATGAAAGAAACAGTCAAAACCGTTCGAATGATTAACCGTCCGATTCAACGGTTCATTAACCAAAACCAACGATTTTGGGGGAAAATCTATTTTTAGAAAAAATAGAACCGATCACCTGACTGATTTCTGGTTTTCTGATCCAACTTTTCCCGTTTTGAAAACCATGGTATAATGTAATTATAAAAAATAGAAGAGAAGTACATGCATCTTCTTGGGCGTAGAACATGATATTCTATCAGCACAGCAGTCAGCACGTCTGGAGAAGAATGGTAATGTCCAATCTACAAGTAATATGACATGACATGATAATTATCTGGAACTTCTAAGTAAAGGGATAATGTATGCTTTCCATTGTTAATGCTAATATTTACTCTCCTTAAAGCCATTCTGGATCATTTGAAAATTTCATCCAACTCACATCATCACATGGAATTGATCAGAGAAACTAGTTATCAAATGTCCATCAATGAATTAGCCGTCTTCTTAGTTGTATTAAGAGGAATCGCCAAAAAAATAAAAGAGAGAGGGAAATAAGCATTCCTTTCTTGTGTTTCATAAGGGGATGTTCTACAAAATAAATGTTTTTGTTTTTTTTTTTGTATGTTTAAATTATCACATCAGGAAACTGGAAACTACAAAAAACATATTCTTAATTGTATTTCTATATATTTTAATATGCAAAAAACAAAAAAATATGTTTCAAAAATTCAAGATTACGCTTTTGGTTTTAGTTTTAGAAAACACACACATTTACAACGAAGAACATGTAGTCCATGTTTTAGGTTTAAAAAACAATTTGTTTGCAACCAGCTAGATGCTCTTATTTTGTGTTTGAAACAAGAAAAACAATTCACATTGAATAACGCCTATAATAAGGGCATGTTTGGTATCATTGTGTCGCATGCCTGTTTCTCTACCACATCAATGCCTCATAGGTGATTAAACTGCACCAATGATGATCTTGAGGGTGTGACATCATATGTAGCGCCTAACCCGCATCTCTACGCTTATCAAATAATATAACATTTACACAACACATCATGCCAAACATAACCCAAGTAATTCAACAATACCTGAACTTCTTATTTTGTGAGGAATTAATCAAGTTTATTGCTTCATTTCAAATTTCCTCTTCTTTTATAATCTACAAACCTTACATAATTATTTGAGCTAATTATATTGATAAAAGTTGTAGATCAATTAATTCTTCAGATATAAAATCAGTCCATTCTCCTTATCATTAAAACCTGCATTAAAACTTCTAGATTATATGATTAATTATGATCAATTTTTTTTAAATCTAAAAGAAAAGAAAAGAAAGGCAGAAGCATGACACGAAATAATTTCCTTCCAGGTGGTTTCTCACGCCCTCTAGGTATTTGAATCCAGCTTTACCCACAAAAGCAAAAAGGAGGTTCTCAGTTCTCACCCCATTGAAAGTCCTTCCAGTTACTGTTGCTCATCCTGAAAACTTTTTGGGTGGATGAAGTCTGGACAACACTGAAGCAGTTGTTTTCCTACTTTTTATTTTCCATCGTACCCACACCCATTTTTATTTTTTCAAAAATTACTCAAAAGAAATGAAAAGTTCAACCCAAGAAACTGTAGCCACTTTGCTAGACTAAAAGTGTGCATCATCGTCATTATCCAATCTCATAGAATTCCATCATATGGATCCCAACTAGCTAATTGGTTAGAGAGAATTATAGACAAAGGCCTTTTATCATCTGCACATTATTGGAGAATTATCCAGTCTTTTGGTTCAATAAAACCAACAACTAATAAAAACTTGTCTCGGAGAACTTCAATGTATAAACACGGTTTTAAAAACCAGACCAGAAACGGAACTGTTTTGGCCACTGGTTCCTGGGTCAAATGGTCCAACCTTCTGGTCCAAAGTCTGGTTGGATGGTTTTAGTCCTGGGTGTGCGATCAATGACGTGTCTCCCAGTTAATCAAGCACTGGGCCATCTGGCTCAGTTTGTCTCCGTTAATACAAGGGTGCATTTCTGATGAGGTTTTCTAAGTTGGGCCCATTAAATTTGAACATGCGGCTGAGCTTGGTCTGCGAGTTCAGTCCATGAATAAGCTCAGGCTCAGCAAGTGCGGCTTTTGTTCTTTTGATGAATAATAAATAGAATCGGATCTGTAAATTCTGCAAATTTCACATATTTTTCTCCAAGGTGGGACTTGCTCTGACAAGAGCCCATAGTGTTTTTCTTGGTGTACGAAGCTATATATATTTTTTAATTTTCAAATAATAAATCATTTTGAGAAAACAAGAGCTGTGAATATCTGTCAGATTCAAATCCAACTAATGCAGCCTGTCGGCCAAATATTGAGGTCATCAATCGTTGCTTAGAGAAATCGGAGTTGATGCTTTACAACTTGCTCTCTCCTGAGCTTAAAAGTATGCTCTCTATTCTAATCACTCTATGGGGACTTTAGAGAATAAACAGGGTCTCACCTAACATCAGTTTTTAGGTTGAAGGGTGATTTGAGATCTTATCGTCCCCTTTATACTTCAAGCCTCAACCTAAACCTGATTCATTGATACATGTATTCTTATCTTCTATCAATGGACCAGGTCTAATATCCAATCCGATTTGGACCATTAAATCTGGACTGATCCAATTCAATATGTTTTATTGGTATGTCCAATCTGTTCAAATTGATTTTGATTTGGATGGGTCCCTTAATCTACATTAGCTAGTGATATAAACTTTTAGTTTTAGTTCTATCCAGTCAATAAATCTGACTCAATTCAATATATAGGACTCATTGACTGGACTAACCAACGGAATTGAATTCCGCTATTAACACCCACACCTACCCTGTATTGCATGATTCAGCTCTGACACTAGCTCACAAACCCCATTAAAACCAGTCTACTGAAACTGATAGGAATGATGAAATACATGGGGAATTGTGAACAGTAAAGGATTGAATAAGTTCAATCAGCAGTGGTTTTAACCATGAAAACTACTTCAGTACTGAGGATTAGTGTGTAATTAAGGATCCGGTGGAGTAGTTGCTGTAGTCTGAAATGAGAAGAAGGTACAGATCTACTGGAACTCAAGTATTAATCTGAAATCTGAATAGCCAAGAATGGCATGGTGGTACGTTTGATTTGATCCAGATTTCTCATAAGAACATTCAAAGCTCATGCACATCAACCACTCCCGGCGAATTAGTTGCCATGTGTTTGTGTCAATGTCAGGCCCTGTCGAACGGTAATCAACTCTATTACATTCACATGCGTGTGGAATTCTAAGATTGCATGACATAGTTGAAATTAAGTCGTTTCACATCGCAATTCCCTGATCTGATGTATCAGCACAATAAATCGCCATGAATGGAGTGTTGTGCATGTGCATTCCAGAAGAAGTCATCCGCGCGCGAGCGAGGCGTTGTCGCTGTCGGCTGCCGAATCTCATATTTCGCCACGTTCCCAGAAGTCGAACTCCAAGCTGCAACCGAGCAAAAGGAGTTGGTCTCTTTTCCCCACAGAGCTTAATTTCTCCCCCCATCACACCATAGAAGCAATGCCAATCATCGCCACTGTTGCTAGCTAAATTCTTTAGATAAAACCAGGTGGTTGAATAAGGTACACGTGCAAATGCCACATCTGGCATGGCCACCATGGATCTTTCCGGCGACTCTCTGTGTCTTAACAAAATGGTCTTCCGCGCGCATCTGGTTAGGCACATCAATTCCGCGCGCGATATAGAGCAGGCAGCAAGAAGAAGAAAGAAGAAAGAAGCTTTCTATTCTATTCTACACACATTCGAAGAACGAGGACAGAAAACCTTTTTCGTAAAATGCTTTCTTTTGGGAGAGGCTTGGCGCGAGACGAGACAAGACAATTAATATGGGTTGAGATTTCAAAGGGTATTTTAGTAAATATGATGTGTTCTGATTAACGAGCTGTCACATTCTGACAGCTGACGCAGTGTGCTCCTTGAATAGTACATGGTTACTACGCACGAACCAAACTCCTAGCCATGACAATTATTATTAGTATAATTAAATTAACGACGAAGATTTCGGTAAATTGTCGGTCAGCAGACGTGATTTTCTACCCGTAATTTCGTGGCTAAATGGAAGTCTACGGTCTATCCCTCTCTCCCTCTCTCTCCTTCACGGTCAAGAGTCACGACTCACGAGTGACGACTGACGAGCCACACGATAGACACAACTGAGTACTGACTACTGAATTTGGTTGCGGTGGTGCAGTGTACTTGAGACGGTGCGTGTGTGAGAGTGTGTGCGTGTGACTCTGGAGCTGGACCCTCCGATAATACCTCAATCGGTCATTTCTTCCCAACTCCCTAGGTCAGGTCTCTCTCTCTTAGCGCAGTGCGCACCCTCGTCCATAGAAGAGAGGAGATCTCATCACAGCTCTGGTTCAGATACTGGTAGCTCTCTCTCTCTCTCTCTCGCTTTTCATTTTCATTAGGGGTCCCTCTCCTTGCTTTCTTTACAACGGTTCTCTCTCTCTCTCTCTCTCTCTCTCTCTCTTACACATTTCCCTTTTAAGAATACAGCTTTAGAGTAACAAACAGGGTCCAACCTCAAATCCAAGTTTGTGGGATGAGTTGTGGATCAAAGCTGGGTTACCTCTTTTTCTCTCCCTGGAGTTCTGCGAGCTAATTCACCGGGTTCAAGTTCCCATTTTTCCCTCATTTTTATTTTTGTCTAATGAAATGTGAAGTGAGATTGGATGAGAAATTCGAATCGGTTTGTGCACTTTGATGAATTTTGTGTCTGGAGATGGATCCTCCTTCTTTGATTAATGAAGGTTCCTTTCCCTCGGCAAACCCGTCCTCGTATAGCTTGGCTGAGATTTGGCCTTTCCCGCTCAACGGCGGCGGGGGTGTTGGGGATTCCGCTGGTGTTTTGGGATTGAGGAGGAATCATTTTGGGCAGAACTTGAGTGGCTTTGTGGAAACTAATGGGAATGGGACGGTGGCGGTGAATCGAGATTTGTCCATCGATGAGTCAACGGTTACGGAGCAGAGCGGGAGTCGCGGTGGGAGTGGAAGGAAGCGTAGAGATGCGGGTTCAGAGGATGAGTCATCTAAGCTTGTTTCTACGAGCAGTGGCAATGATGTGGTACTCTCTTTCTCATTCAAAACTTATCCATTCTTAGCTATTTCTCTTGTTGATGCCCACCTCCTATTTCTTCACCTCACTTCGATTTCACTTAATTTAGGCTTAGCCTTGAAATTACTGGAACTGCCTTATGTGTTAATACGGTACTGATTTTAGGTGTTGTAATGGAAACGTTTTTTTTTTATCTGTAAAAAACTTGAGAGTGAAGATGTGAGAGGATAAATGTACAGTTGGTTGATTGAGGAGTGATCTGCCATTTATTGAAAATTCAATTAGTTTGGGGCTCTTACCGTAGTGGTTTTTATATTATTTCTCTTTTAAGCAGAACGATTGTGATGGTAAACGCCTAAAGGTTTCGGGATCAAAAGATGAAAATGGTGATTCGAAAGCTGAGGTGGAAGCGAGTTCTGATGCTGGTAATAAAGCAGCTGAACAAAACACTCAACCTCCTGAACGGCTTAAGCAAGATTACATTCATGTGCGGGCAAGGAGGGGGCAAGCTACTGACAGCCACAGCCTAGCAGAGAGAGTAAACCATTTATTGATTTATTTCCTCTTTAGTTTGCAAACTAGAATTATTCCCTGCTGTAAATATCCAGTATTAGTGATGGAGTCTCTCGGTATCCCATGAAGTCAGAATATCTTTACATTCAGATGCATGAAACATTAAAGTTCTATTATTGCTAGTGACCTGGAAACTCTGTGGGATATAGTGCACACCATAGACCACATCTCCATAAATCAAACAAATGTTGCTTACTGAAACTATTTGTTGGACAGGCTAGGAGAGAAAAGATCAGTGAGAGGATGAAGATTCTTCAAGATCTAGTCCCTGGATGCAACAAGGTGCAGTATGTTGTTTCAGCGCTTTTACATAATTCTGGTTACCTGGGCATATGTTGTAACTTCTCCATTGTGTAATATATAATTGCAATCTTCATGAAGCCGGTGCTATTTACAACCCCCCCCCCCCCCAAAAAAAAAAAAAAAGAAAAGAAAAGAAAAGAAAAGAAAAACCCTCAGATTGCAAAACTTTCAAGCTCATATTCCTTTTTCAATTAAGATGCCATTTTCTGAAGAGTTTTGCTTAGAAAAAAATTCCTCTGAGCAGGTCATTGGCAAAGCTCTGGTCCTTGATGAAATAATTAACTACATCCAATCACTCCAGCGTCAAGTTGAGGTATCCATCCATTTCTCTATTCTATGTCTGGCAGCTCTATATTATCTTTGTTCCTCTCAGCTGGTCAATTCACAACTTGATTTTATAAAATTGTTGGATGTTGTAGTTCCTGTCAATGAAGCTTGAAGCAGTTAACTCACGAATGAACCCTACCATTGAAGGGTTTCCTTCAAAAGATGTAAGTCCTAAGTACACTGACTGAAACACATTATCCTACCTAGCTCAGCATTTTCAGCCATTTGAAATGTCATAATAAGCTTTCCAATCAACTTGCTCGACGGTAATCATGAAAGTTGCATTCTTTTGGTTGACAACGTATATTCTAGACCTTAGATCCTCAAGCAACCCAATTCCCCTTGCTACAACATGTGGCCAATTGGGAAATCAACCCAGTCAATTAAGTTGCTGTCCGTCTTCTGGGCAGGCTATAACCATAACATTAAGTGCTACAGGTTACAGTCTTCTTTTTCAGCTTGAGTATTCAATTGTTATTATGTTTTTTCCATGTAACAATTTAGATTTTATGGTTCAGTACGGTGCACAGGCATTTGATACTACTGGAATGGCATTCAGTTCACAAGCAACAAGGGAATATGGCCAAGGGTCACAACCAGAATGGCTGCATATGCAGGTCGGTGGCGGCTTTAAGGATCAACATGACTTTAGTTAATCCTCATCAATTGGCAATAAGGTCATAAGTAGCTTGCTTCCTCCTTTGATGATTGTCAACAATTATGCCCCAGTCATCTTAGTCCAGAGAAGAATCTTATTATTATTATTTTCTACATCTGGTGTGGAGCTGTGGTTTCTGTTTATATGAGTGAGCTTCAACCAAAAATCTTTACAGTCTCCATTTCGTTGTGCGTTAGAAAAATCCATTCTTTTATCTTTATATATCATCTAACAGGAAGTCCTGTCCTTTATTGTATCACTAAACCTGAATTGAACCTCCTGCTATGAATGTTCTGGAACTCTTTTAGACATAACTAATGAATGAATGCTTTTTCAGAATTTGTAATATCTGAATCATCCATGCTATTCTTGTCTGAACTTTTGGAATTTAGTTACATCAAGAAACTGACTTGTTTCAAAATTACTGTTGGCATTGCTAAATTTAACACGTTTGATCTTTTCCTGGCCATTAACTCTTGCTGAGCTTGAAAATTCTGTATGGTCAGGATATTGCAAGTTCCTTAACTTGGGAATGATGCATCTACAAAAAATAAAGTGGAGTAAATAAGAACTGTTTTTCCTTTTGCTTCATGGGCTACACACGGGGGTAGCCCATCCCCAATCCCCTTACCAC